TGTCTTTCATATACCTATCCTTTCATGTCCTCCTTTCCAACTGGCCTCTCTGTCTGCAGAGTTCACGGATCTCAGGCTGCAGAAGTATGGACAGCCATGCGCAGGGCGGCTGGAAGTTTTCTACCATGGAAGTTGGGGGGGAATCTGCCATCTCCTGAGCACAGCCTCCCTGGGGATCCTGTGTGGGCAGTTGGGCTGTGGGCCCCAAGGGCAGCTACTGGGCAGGCCAGAAAGCTGGCCTTCCCTTGGGGTTTTCTGGCTGACTTCCATTCAGTGCAGGCCTAGGCACGACAGGTCCCTGTGGCAGTGCCCCTCATCTGCCTGGGACCTGCATTCCTGCTCCAGCAGTGAGGAGGCCTGGGTCTTGTGTGCAGGTGAGTAGGAGGGGATGTGCAGGTGTCTGTGAGGGTGTGAGGGGTGGTCACAGCCATGAGACTCACAGTTGAGCATGGGCCACATGGAGTGGCCTCAGTCCTTGGCTTTCTCTTTGTGGGAAGCAGGACCACTGGACTCCTGGGCCTTTTCTGATGGCATCTATCAGGGAACTTGTGTATTGAGCTCTCAGGCTGTGTGGTTACTCTTCGTTGAATAGAAACATTTCTGGTTCTCTGGGAGAAAAAATTCCTTGTTACAAAGACAAGAAGACAAAGGGAAGGAGCAAATATGTTCCACAGAGTGTGAGGCTACTGAGCTTGCAAATGCTGAGATGGGTCCCATTTTGCCATGCAGAAAACAAGCCAGAAATTCCTGAGGATTCTGAGCAGACCCTTAACTGCTCATCCACACTCAGTTGCCCAGGTACCTACTTTCTATGTTGTGTTCTCCCTGTCCATTCTACTGGGGTTCCTGAGCTAAACACTGTGCTCTCTTCCAGAGGAGGGTGCACTGCGCCTTCGAGGAGGTGATGGTGCCTGCTCAGGGCGTGTAGAGCTTTGGCACGCAGGCTCCTGGGGCACCGTGTGTGATGACTCCTGGGACCTCGCAGATGCAGAGGTCGTGTGCCGCCAGCTGGGCTGTGGTCAGGCCATGGATGCTGTGCAAG